GGGTCTTGAAGCTAGGGAGATCATGACAGTGAGTGGGCACAGGTATGATGTTGTTTTAACGTAGCCTATGTGTACAGTTAGTCTTCTAATTAGGAGTCGGGCCCTAAAATATACCTTTTGTCTTGCAGGTCTGAGAGCTTGTTAAAAAGCTACTGGAAGCCATCCATGGAGAGCAGGAAACGATGGAGCAACATACTGTCAGATCAGAAGGCAGAGTCGGCTGTGCCTGTGAAGCGACAGTCCACCATGCAGTCACCAGAGACTTATTTCACCGGCTGCACAATTAATGGAAATGTGCAGATAAATGTGTATAAAGAGTAAGTGCCTGGCGCACCATGTCTGCGTTATATAGCAACGGTGACAGCGGAGTCCTGAGGGAACTATTTTTGTTGGCGGAAGACAAATAAAATGCTTAAATTATCTATTTTGTCTTCATTTTTCAACATTTCTTAATCAGCCTTGCTTATTTAACTGTTGAACTGTTGTATCAAAGCAATATCACACTCGAGCTTGTGATGTTATACTCGTATATCGTCACGGCTGTGATTGTCTTCGGCACTCGGCCTGCGGCCTCGTGCACCTATGACCAAATCACAGCCGTGACGATATAGTATATAGTATAACATCACTCCCTCTCGTGTGATATTGCTTATATATATATATACATACATACATATACATATATATATATATATATATGATTTGTAACCAAGCACATGTGTGAGGTCTCACCTGGAGGCATCAAAGCTGTCATAGGAGCCCACAGTGTAGTGTCTGAAGAGCTTCCGTCTGTCAGCACGGTCCGCTCGGGAATCTGCCAAACAGAGCAGAGTGAGATCAATATTCACATCCCATTTGTAACCAATAACAGCAGTTTACAAATCAATTCCTGCTGCTGGAGGACAATGAAAACTGTTAGCCTTTGACAAATAGCACTTTAAAAATGCTATTGCACATGAGCTGCCTCTCCAGGATCCAATCCAACAACACTTCAGGACATTTTAACTTTTGTCAAGTCAAACATTTTTTTTGGAAGAATTTTTCCTGAAAGAGAAGTTACACCTGTCCTCACACTTGTCTCTACAGTTCAATATGTACATGCACATACAACTATTCAAATTAGGAGGTTTTTTTAGACTAAGTCTTTCAGCTTTGCTCCTGAGGGGACAGAATCATAACTCTCATAGCTACAAGAGGTCCATCTTCGATAAACATATGTTGTTTTAGGCACTTGCAAAAATGACTAATGCAGTCTTTTGTCCCGCTGAGGACAGCCTCAGTGTTTTACTCTACAGTAAGTGTCCAGCCCTAAAGCAAAATCAAATCTACCTCTTGGATACACAGCAGCAACTTCAATGATTTTTGATCACACTCTAATAATGGTAATCCAAGTCAAGTTTTGGCCGCTTGTGGGAGCTGTGAATAAAATGTGACACATTATCACCTCTAAAAGTTGTTATGGAATATGTTAGAATTCCCTCTTTACAAATCCAGCAGACACAAAGCAATATTAGCATTCATTCGGAGTCCCATTTCTGACCACCTGACAATGGTAAGTCCAATATGCATTCTCCTTTTAGCTCTGTTTTTTCTCTGCCAACTCCTGAGAAATCTGTTCCTCTTTCTTCACTGGCTAGTCTCTATCTTTGTCTGTCAGCTGTTCGGTGCTGAACAAGAAGCACATCAGAATTATCTGAAAACTGCCACCTGCTACGGGCTACTTGAAGCACAGCCTTTCTGTCAAAAAACCAAAACACTGGACTGAAAGATGCTAAACACCCCAGAAAGCTGAGAGGAACTTCATGACCTGGCAACATCTTAAAAGTCTGTGACAATAATATCTGTGCAAGTTTCAACTTCAAAGAATACTTCACCCACAAAATGATCATTTGTTTATCATCTCTGTTACCTTGAATTCATGAAGAAAATGTAGTTTATCTCACAGTGAATGAAGAACCCAAAGACAGCAAATGTTCTTGATGAACTGGAGCAAGTGGGGGCCACATTTAACAACAGCAAAACTATGTAACAAAACATCCAATTACATACTAATACACGACTTGCGCAGCATAAATCTGACTCTCACTTACACTGTCATGCCCAGTTCAGACCAAAGATATGTGATGAGACAAGTTGAAACATGCAGCTGCTTCCAAATGTGCCATTTTGCAACTAAAAACCTGCCAGTTCAGACCAACTAGAAGGGACGGTGTATCATCTCTATGCAACAACTCTGTGTACTTCTGTTCTGGTTTCCAGCTTTTTGGGCTTATTTTGTGGCTGAATATAATTTGTAGCTTCTTAAAATATGAATGAAGATAGTGATAGTGAGATACTGAATACAGTTGCATTTGTAGTAGTAATGAAACAGTGAAAAAAGAGAAACAGAACGAGAACTGGGCCTTGTTTCAGAAAATGGGTTTAGTGAAAACCCGGATTTCCACTGGATGCGTGTCTGTTGCGGAACGGCAGCGCTGGTTATCTGCTGCGTGCTCCGCCGTCCGTCAATACCCACCGGCTGCGTTTGCTGTGCGGAGCGGTGCAGCTCCGCCGNCTGCGTTTGCTGTGCGGAGCGGTGCAGCTCCGCCGAAGACATCTCGGTGCACTGCCATGATTAAAATCTCCTAGTCCATGGTGTAAACGGGGAAAAATGACGTCTGAAAACCTCTGACCTGTTGACTTCAGGCCTGCCTCTGCCCATTATGTAGTTTTCAAGGTGTAGTGCAGGGAAATATGATCCGCCATGAACACTGTGTATTTTATTTTGAAAATTAACCGGATGTTTTATCGTGTTTCTGTGCACGACTTCCTGCCCCGCATGATCTGCTCTGTGCTGAATTGCTGCGTTGTGCTCCGGCGTCCGGCAAAAATAGAAGTCCTGCCTATCTGTTGCGGAGGGCTCCGGAGTGCCGGAGCTGAGACGGAGCCGGAACGCAGCACAGCCGCAGCCGGTGGAAACACACACATTGACTAGAATTGAATCCTATCGGCTCTGCTGCTGTGCCAGAACGGAGACACAACCGACACGTATCTGGTGAGATGAGGGAAACTCTGGGTTTTCTGTTTCAGCAGAAGGAGAGGTAAGGTAAACACTGAATCAGTTACTGTGGTAACTGAACCTAATCTGCTGCAGTCCATATCAAAGCGTACATTGAAGTGCATGAATCAGTGTGGTGGTTTACCGTATGTCATAATATAAATTCTAGTTGGATATCAGATTGTTTCTCAGGACTATTTAAAGTTACCAGCAGTATGCACTGTCAGTCATTTCTTTGAACAGTGATTTTTGCACATTAAAATATCACACACCATCAAATCACCCCACATCAGTATACACAGACATCTGCATATGTATGCTTTATCGTCACCAGATGATAGCCGATAGGATCTGAGATTAAGACACCCCAGCTCAGAATAAAACCCCTGCATGTCCTTCTTTTTGCAAGTTGAAGTTCTTTTTTTTTAACAGGTAACACTGTGACTTTTTACAAAAGATAGCTGTCAGTTTGTTAGAGCACTTCACCCAAATGTTTATTGCATATAATATGTAATCTCAGTTTCAACCATAGAATCAAAATTGATTTGAAAAAAATCTGGGGTTTAAATTGTAAAAATCGGTCAGCCTATGCATGAATAATTATCTCTATCACTCGTGATGTGACTAGTCTCACTAATGGAACATAATTTCTATAATATTGGAGACTATATGTAACTAAATATGATAAGCAGGATTGTAGTGCGGCTGCAGACTGAAATTGAGTTTTTTAAGGGTTTTAACAGAACTTCAGTGGCTGAATTTAAATTTACAACATGAGTTGAAGGAGCTGAAATACAGTCACAGAACACTGTTCAGCCAAAGATTCAAATAGATGTCTAAAGTTTGAAATCTACTGTATTTTAACCTCCATGCTTTTCAAGTGCAAATCACCATACACATTATTACTGGATTAGATTGTGAGTTTACAATCTCTGTCTTTGATATAAATATAAATATATTTTAAGTCTTCAACTATATTTTTCATCTTCAGTTGCTCGCAGCATTCACAGACACAACTGTCTTATACAAAACACATTTTCCAAACAAATACAACATGCTAACGTTATTAGCACAAGCCGATGGCATTTTACATTGTATAAATTAGCCTAGTGAGGAGTGGAGATTTCCTCTGCTCATATGAAACCAGGATGAATCCTGAGGTATAAATCCCTGAAGGATAAATCACACACAAGACTTAAAATGTGGAGGCTTTATTGTCTTCAATTTATTTTTTCTTATATATCTGAAATAAAAGTAAATAAAAGCTTCATTTCCACTGAGGGAAATGGTTTCAGCTTACAAAAATAGACAGGGGGTCTGCGTAGCCACACCACGTAGTTATATCTCTGGGGAGGCAAAAATGTAATGTAGGCTCCAGGTTGACGCAGAGCCTACGCCGTATCTACAGCGTCGATTCAACGCAGAAGTATAAATTCCACATCAGCGGGGATGGAGCACCTGCTGCAGCAAGCAAACATGCTGTCTGTGGTTATTTTTACTCGATCAGCGGGCTTCAGTACAAGCCGATTGGCTGTTGAAACAGGTGACATGCTTTAAATAGTAAAACCAGCTGCCGAAACTTTGACCAGCTGAGTTGCAGGTGACACCAATAGCCAGCTTGAGTCGAGCTCAGACCAGCCAGTTCACACTGCCGCAACTTTTCTCTGCCATGTTCTAAAACAGTTTAGTCTTGTCGCGAATCATGGTCTGAACTGGGCTTAAAACATTTCTACATTACCAGTCTCACACACAGATGAGTAGCGCGCCTGGATAAGTGTGTGCGTTTGAACTCTGCTCAGTGGAATGCACCAACAGAATTCAAACGCACATATGCATAAGTGTTATAAAAGTTCTAGTGAAAATGCATGTGTTTGGGAAGTACTGGGTATAAAACTTGATAAATGAAACTGTTTACATATACAGTAGTTTTGCTGTTAAAGGTGGCCGCCATATACTCCAATTTATCAAGAATTTTTGGATTCTTTGTTTACCATGGATGCATGAGAGAAAAACACATTTTCCTCACAAATAACACAACCAATTCATATATTAATGATCAGTTTGTGGGTGAAGCCTTCCTTTAATGGTGTCCAGTGCCAGACATGCCTGCTTTTATTTTCGACTGAGTGCAACTATTTCAACAAGTTTTCCCTCTCAAAATGAAAGTAATATTTGTTTATTTAAAATTGCCAGTTAAATATTTACAGGTAAACTAAGATAGACAATCACTGATAAACATCTATAAGATGTACATGTATAAAAAGTATGAACTGCTCACACAACGAGTCAATCAGCGGGCTCTATCTAACATCAATCAATATAAATGAAAGGAGTATTTAGACAAAGATCCAGAGGGTGGCAATATTGGCTAATAAATGGGGAAATTAGAGCCCTGACCTAACCTACGACTGCAAAAGGTGTTTGTAACATTGTAAATTTGTGGAGGATGAAAACAGAAGCCAAATGGTGAACAAGATCCTAAAGCCTCAGAGCATTTTCTTAGTTCTCTTTTGGTCTCAGTGCTCCATTAGCTGCCTTAAAGAGTATGTGAAGTAACATTAAATGTTAAATTAAATGTTTTCATTGGGGTGTTGATGGCTTAGTGGTAGAGCAGGTGCCCCATGTACAAGGCTGTTGCCGCAGCGACCCAGGTTCAACTCCAGCCTGTGGCCCTTTGCTGCATGTCACTCCCTCTCTCTCCCCCCTTTTAACACCTGTCAAACTTTTTTAAAACCATTTTTAACTGCATAGCTCCAGATGTACTGCAGATAATAAAT